GTGAAAATTAATTTAACAGCTGTATGTATTTGTGGATTTGATTTTATTAGTGTGAATGCGAGAGTGTGAGGTCGAGTAATAGCACGAATGTAGATATGTATGTTTTTTGAAAATGCGAGTGGAAGATCTAGAATGCATGGTGTTGTGCAGTTGCTATGGATCAGAGTCAAAGTGATATAAGGAGTTTCAGTTTGTTATAAAAATCGTGAGGATGAACAATTAGGAAATAAGACGTGTGTATACTATAATTTTATAATAAATATATATTTGTTATACTGCAAACTCACAGTATTAACCCTTTACTGTCGTCAGATTTCGGCAGAGCAAATTTAGCGTTTCGCAATTACTTTCCTGTACAGGATTTAAAGTCAATATATGGATATTAAAGCGCACAGAATTTATTGAAACTGATTTATATTTAATACTACTTACAATACGTAAATATACCAAATTTTTAATTTTTATAATTTTCTGTATTTTTCCCTGCTGCGGGGACATCGACCACAAATGTTTAAATAATTGGAAAACTGGAAAATATTATTTCCTAGATCCATTGACAGCATACTGCCAATAGTAATAAAATAAAATAAAATCTTTTTGTAAAATAAATTACAAGACAATTTAAAAATTACAGATGCAGGATTGAAATACCGATTTAAATAAACAGTTTCGAGTTCGCCATTTTATTCTCCGTTATCCACTCGTTTCTTACATCGTACGTCTACTTTTACTTCGGCAAGATTAAACCGTTTCATACAACATTTCGTGGCCACAAACGAAACGAACAAAGGCGCCCATCGATCTTCGTCAAAATTAATTCCAGCAAATTCTATTCCAACAACCTGGGTAATCGCAAGCACGTAGACCAGGGTCTGCAATTTCGTGTAATACCTAAAACTTCGCTGGAAAAATGCAACGGACCCACTTACACGGCGTAACATCGGGCAAACGAAGGCGGCAATCTTCGAAATCGCGTTCTAAAATTTATCAGAATCAAAGTTCGAAATTGGCGGAAGTTGATCGAAGAAATCACATCGAGAAACTCGTATAATTTGTTAACCACCGACAAACATCCGAAACATCTAATTACGAAACTTTCAATTGCCCATTTGCATCGAGCGAAGAATCCCAATAAGTGTACCCAGATTTCCGTCGATACTTTATCGAGCCAATTTGTACCCCGATAAGTGGAATAACAAGTTCCACACCATCCTCCAGTTACCATTCTCCACCGATTCCACTAAACAGACTCATATTTTTCCGAAATTCCCCACCACGATCTGGCCTAACCTCGTACAAAAATCTTCAGGAACTCGCATCTTCTTCTGTCCACCATTTTCCAATGAGAAATGACGAAAACACGTGACAAAATGACACGTCTTCTGATTTTTGGTGTTAAGGCGTAATATTATATGTTCATACGTAGATTGCAAATTTTTAATTTTAATATAAACACTGTAAAAATGAGAAAATTATTTCATAATTTTAAATTCAAGAGGTATACTAAATACTGAGGCATACTGAATCTAAAATTTTGAAATTTGGACTTCAAATACAATTTAGAAAATTGATATCAAATGTAATACATCGAATTTTAGTTAACTCGAGAATTTAAAGATTTGGTGAGCAACAAATACTTTTTAAAAGTAATTCAGATATCTCAAAATATAGATTAGTTGCTAATTTCTATTTCAATTGTTTATTTCTAATTTGTGAACACCTATTATTAATAATTGCCAACTACCAGAAAAATTAAAAATTCACAAATTATTTAACAGTAAACGGTCAAATGAGCAATGAAAAAAAGAAGAAAGTAAAAAAGAAAATATAAAAGGGAAAATATTGAAAAATTAATTAAATGCAAATTATGAAAAATATGAAAAATCGTAAAAACACGTAGTCTAATGATAACATTAGATACAGAATTTTGACTTAAAATTTTTGGAATGTCAACTTAGGTCTTGGTTTTCACACGTTCAGTGCTAAGCTTCGAAAGATAATACTCTAATCTTATCTAAATTAACAATTTTCAAAAACATAGATCTCAACATCTCAAACAGCTTAACACATCGACTTCCATCCACCTTTTACCTCAGACCACAAATTTCCCTCATTCCCAGTATTGGAAATTATATATTAATTACTTAATTTGGAAATTAATTATTTTAATTATAACAAATTATTAACCAATACAAAAAAAAAGGGAAAAAGAGAAACTATTACTCTCCAATTCAGAATATTCCCATTTACATGCATTTCCCAAATTATCCGAAAGAAGAAACCAAACACGCTGAAATCAAACCACTGATAGCGACCACCCTGGCAGGGAACGTGTTAATCGGAAAAATGCCGAAGCGTTGTAAAAGAAAGAAGAGAAGGAGACATACCACCACTCCGTGACACGCAGCAGTGATAAGCACAGGTTGGAGAAGTAACCGAAAGTTAATCCTGCATGGGAAAGAACTCGGTGGTGGATGAGTGGAGCTCGTATCAGCGCGTTGTTCCATTACGCGGCGAAGATTACGGCGGCACGCGCGCGGCCAAGCATCACGGGGTGCACGGTTCCGGCGGATGCCAGCTGGGAAACGGGTGGAACGGGGAAGAAAAGAGCGGAGCCGGCGACGCGACGCTCGCGGCCGGCAAAAAGCCGCGGGGATCTGCGTAAACGCGGAATGGCAGGCAGAGGAAAGGCGGCGGCGCGGACGAGCGGGAAGGATAGAGAGATGCAAAGGGGAAGGAGGCGCGTTCCGCTTTATCAGCGCGCGCCGCATGCCGCGGCGTGTTTCCATTAATTCGCGTCGCGGGGCGAACTCGTGCCGTTGGAATGCCCGTTGAGGCCGAGGAGAGAAGTCGTTAGGCCTGCGTGCCGTTCGGCCTGGCAACCGGTTTTCCCATCGGTGATTCGTCGTTAATTCGCCGATGGAGAGTAAGTAATCGCACGCGTACCAACGACCACCTCGAGTCTGTTACACGGTTACGTTCGCGCCGCGCCTACCTCGGGGTTGTTCCGATTTTCCTCGCCGATAAGCGCGCCACTTCCACGCGGGACGCGAGAAATTCCTTTGACCCTTTTTCGGACGGAATCGCCGCGTTCCTCGCCGGCCGCGATTTCAGTCGCTGTTCGGGTCTACGAGGGTTGGGAATCGGGATCTTGGGCGGATGGCTGTTTTTCTCGCTACTTCGGCACTCCTCATTTGTCCCGTGCCTTGTGTCACGGTCTATACGTTCGAGAACGTACATATGTGCTTTTCATCAGCATTTTTTTTAATATTACAGGGTTACTGTGGAGAGGAGTATATGTTTGTTTTGGAAGAAGTGATATAAATTTGGGAATTGATTTAGTGCTTGTGGATATTTTTGGTATCGGATCGAATGAGGATAAATGGAATAGAAAAAGAAAAAAGAAAGATATGTAAATCGTTTAATAATTTTTGCTAAAATATATTTGTAAATAAATTTTGGAAAGGATAGATCTTGTGATGGGTCAGTGTTTTGTGGTTAGTTTGGGACAGCTCATTTGTCCCGTACTTTGTGTCACGGTCTACGCGTTGGAGAACGTACATATGTGCTTTTCATCAGCATTTTTTTTAATATTAGAGGGTTACTGTGGAGAGGAGTATATGTTAGTTTTGAAAAGAACGATATAAATTTGGGAATTGATTTAGTCTTTGTGGATATTTTTGGTATCGGATCGAATGAGGATAAATGGAATAGAAAAGGAAAAAAGAAAGATATATAAATTGTATAATAATTTTTACAAAAAAAAATATAACTGTAAATAAATTTTTCAGAGGATAGATTTTGTGGTGTGGGGGTGTTTTGTGGTTAGTTTGCAAGTCCTTATTTGTCCTGTGCTTCGTGCCAGGCGAGTCTACGCGTTGGAGAACGTACATATGTGCTTTTCGTGAGTATTTTTCCCGATATTAGAGGGATGTTGTGGGGAGTATATGTTTGTTTTGGAAGAAGTGATATAAATTTGGGAAATGATATAGTGTTTGTGAATTTTCTTGGTATCGAATCGAATAGAGATAAACATAGAACAAAAAGAAAAAGAAGATATAAGAAGAAAGAATAGAACAAAAAGAAAAAGAAGGATATGTAAATTTTGTAATAATGTGTGCAAAAATATAATTGCAAATAAATTTTGGAAAGGATAGAGTTAGTGGTGTATGGGTGTTTTGTAGTTAGTTTGGAACCTCTCATTTGTCCCATGCTTCGTGCCAGGTGAGTGTACACGTTGGAGAACGTACATATGTGTTTCTGATGAGGATTTTTTCCCATATTAGAGAGGTATTGTGGGACGAAGTATATATTTGTTTTCAGAGTAGTGGTATTACCTTGTCAACTGATCTGATTTTTGGTTTTTCATCACTGAGAAATCACTCAGGATAAGTGGGAAGAAGATATAAAAAGAAAGAGGAACGTAAATAAATTAAGTAGTGAGATAAAATAATACATTAAATAATATAAATAATAATAGTGAAAATATAGAATACTAAATCATTTATGATATATTATATATTAAATTTCAAGTTAGAAACTATAATTTCCTCCTGCTGTGTATGAAAATTCTAGATCATTAGAATTTTTCGGCATTATAATTTTCGTTCCAGAAAATTTAATTCTATGTAAATAAAGCTTTGTTTTAATATTTACTTCCTCTCCTTATATCATTGTACTTACATACTGCTTAATACAATAATGTCTCTACAATATAATAAAATATTAATTTGTGAACACAAACATTCACATTCGAATTTATAACTTATATTTGAACCTAATTTAAAATAAAATTTCTATTTCGTATACTGAAAAATTAAATATTGTTTCGATAAACTTCAATGCTTCTCATATATCAAGTATTCGAAGTTGAATAAATTATTTCCTAATATACACTCAGTAATTCATATCGAATCTTCTATTTCGCGTTTATAACCCTAAAATTGCACACAACCACAATTGCTACACGAAAATATAAAGGAAATTGCGTATTCACTTACCAAATAATTTCGCCAGGATAGATATAGAGGTTCCGTCTGTAACAAGAAAGAACACACAATTTAAATACAGTCCGAATTGTCGTACGAATAAATAAAATTCGCAGAAAATTCAAACATTGGGTGTATAGATTTATAACACGCAATTCGGATTAACATTCGTTCGCTAATGTTTATTAATCTTGCGTTTCCTACAGTTTTAATTACGTACTTAATAATCGCCATATTTTACTTAAGACTGAGAAATCGTAACACGGTGTTACGCAGCTTTACACAGCCCTAAGATCTCTTACAAGATGAAGACAATTTTTCAAAAGCGGTAATTAACACGTTCCCTTCGGCGTGCATCGTCGTCGTTTAATTTTATGTCCAGGCTAAATATTTCCTGTACTAAATCTCACTTAAAACATTTCGTACAATCGTGAGTCGACGTTTAAGTATCAACCATTTCGTACTATACTACGCTTTAAATATTGCTTACATCTTCGTACTAATTAATAACGATTTTTAAGGCCTGATGAGTATCATGAGCTACACATCGTAAGAAAAATGATTAATTTTAACGTGGATCAAGTCAGAAAAATTTTGGAAAATAAATTGTAAGAAATTTTACAGCACCACTGTACGAAATTCATTGTTGTAATTTGAAATAGTATAAAATTTTACTATTTCCAGGATCATAAATTTCCAGAAGAAAGAAAATGCACACTAACTACGCGATTCATTCCTCATAACCTCGTTTATGGCAATTATCTTATCACAAAATTGCACGATAGTTAAACAAAAATAAAATATTATACAAAATACTTAATCCCATGACAGTTACCTTTGGAACACTGAGGAGGGTAACAAGAATACGCATTTAACCTCTTGTCCTACGATTTCAGTTCCGATGGTGTGTGCCATAATCGACAACATAGTCAGTCACACGTCCAGCCATTTCGTCCGAACGTAGTGAACAATAACACGTAACTGAGACAGAAAGACATCGGCGAAATCTAGCCAGAAGCCTGACCTGTGTTGTTTACGTTGAGGCCTAGCTACAAACCAGGCTTCTCATCTGTGACACTCGTGTTTGGCCCGATTAGCAAATCGACTACTTACCACGAGTTTCACACGATATTGCAGGCGAAGAGGTTAATCCCAAAATCGAATAAAGTCGAGCACTTTCGGTTTGGGAACAAAAATAAGAGAACGTACTCATAAATCGGAAACACAAAGTGTCGGATACGGAGAGTTGATATAGCAAACAGAGAAAAGATAAGTGAGAGTATAGAGTGAGAAGCAAGGACAAAGTAGGAAACTGGAAACGAAAAGAAAACGGTACAGGAAAAGGAATAATTGAAGAAAAAGAAGGTTTTTGGAGGTTAGGAGGAAGAAAGATGGTCACCAAGGTGACAAATAATAAGCTCAAAGCAAAAAAGTTTAAAGAGAGTGGCTAGACACAAATGATAACAGTTAATTAGGATGGGTTTTGAAGGTTAGGCGGAAAAAAGATGGCCACCAAGGCGTCAAATTGCTGGAAAAACAGAAGAGAAACATCAATGATCAGAAGGAATCTATATTGTAGTTCTTTGTCACTGCGAGAAGCAAGGACAAAGTGGAAAACTGAAAACGAAGAGCAAACGGTGCAGAAAAAGGAATAATAGAATAAGAAGAAGGTTTGTGGAGGTTAGGAGGAAGAAAGATGGTCACCAGGACGACAAATAGTAAGCAGGAAACAAAAGAGTGTCCACAGAGTGGGTAGACATAAATAATAACAGTTAATTAGGAAGGTTTTTGGAGGTTAGGAAAAAAAAGATGGCCACCAGGGCGTCAAACTGTTGAAGAAACAGAAGAGCAACATCGTTAATCAGAAGAAATTTATATCGTATTCCTTTGTTTGTTCTCGCGTCTACCAGTCAGCAGGCTATAAAACATGTCAACATACATTTGTCTATGTGATTACCTACACTGATGCTGTCCTGCATTACTCTGTTATCCAATTATCCAATTAGCACACTGAACAAAAATAAAAAAACACAATCTAGGCAGTACAGAAGTAATAAAAATAAAATAACAAAAATAGTAACACTCACACTACTTACTCCAATCATTCTACCTACACCAATTACACTATGCCTCCACCAATTCTCGACACGACAGATTAAAAACTACGTGCACTAATTATCCGAAAACCCTCGAACGCGAACATCGGACCTATCGCACTGGAACTCAACATAACCTCAAAGTGAGCGGCGCTGGGACCTCACGCCATCATCGAAGTCTACCGTAGCGCTAGCGTGTGGGCGGCGTGAGAACTAGCGCCGCGTGCTCGTTACTTCCCTCTCTCTCACTCGTCCGCCATCAGCCAGTCGGACTTAAATACACGTTCGCACTCGAGGCTCGAAAAGGCGTACGCGCTTACGTGGAAAAACGATCGGGCACTAGAGACACTCGCGTGCACGCACGCGCCACGGCCGTATTATTATATTTTACTTCGCGCCACGCGGAAACCCCGGGATAATTTGCGCGAACGAGCCGCAATTATTTAAGGGGTTCGCATACGTAAGGCTGGTGGCAGGGCCGCCACAGTTGTTTCAGCCGCCTCGCGCTCGACGCGACCTCTATCGATTCGACTTTAGCCGCGAGACGAGCTCGTTTGCCTCTTCCGGGAACCCCCGTTCGCCGACTAATAAACCTTTCGCTGATAATTATCGCCGCCACCGCGTGACGGCGCCCTTGACAGGCTCGCTTCGGGAACCGCCTCGACTGGCTATTCGCCACTTCCATGGACGACTTTGTATACTTAGGTGAGCGTTTTGGGTCTGTCGTGCTGACGAAATGAAGGAACAACGACGGTGTCACGGTTGCGGATCGCGTTTGATGAAAAGAAAAATAATATAAGACCATATAGTCCATAAATAATATATAGACCATCCTCGGTATGTCGAGGATACGTCTTCACAGTATATAATTTCTTTCTTTTCCCTTTTATTGAAGCATTCGACACCTCATACGAGGTTTATTTCTGCTGAACATTTATATAACATTTGCTTAATACATTAATTTATATAACAACATTACATTACACTTTTCAATGACAGTCCTTCAAGAAAGTAAAAATACATTTGCAAGCCCAAATGTTTGGCTGAGCAATTATAGACTCCACATATAGGGGGAGAAAGAGTCTCTTTTTCTGTAATTGTCTAATTAGCTTCGCTCTGTACATGTTATAGAGATGGCACTGCCAAATAATACGATTTAAGTCTTGCATTGCATTTTTACATTTACATGTAGGATCAGTAGTTAAGCCCATTCGAGGTAATGATCCCGCTAGATTGTAATGGTTTGCTCTGCATCGGTTAATGGCTACAGGTTCACGTGGAAGACCTTTACATGAGTACCATGGCTGTGATTTATCAGTATAATAATTTTGAAAATAATATTGTCCTTTGGTAAGACTATACTCTTTTATAATATTTACTGTTTGTATCCTTGAAGCTTTTCGGAATCCCTCAATGAAATCGGTAAACGGAACAGTTAGTACGTTATACAAGAATGTTTTAAATTATTTACGAATTTTCCGTGGCTTTCGAGAATTTTTAATTATGACTATTGGATGTTAGAGTATCGTTTCGTTTATTACGCGTTACGCGAGAATTTTTATTTATTTCACCGGTGTTTAGGAATTTTATGGATGTCCATAAAATGAAGGGATCAGAACCTATTGGATTGCTATAGCCATTTCAATTCCTATAAGTTTTTGATTAGTGCCTTTGCACTACAATGACAAGTCTATCTCGTCAGGAATTCTTCGCGTCAAATCTCACGATTATAAGCTATACTAATGAAATGAATCCCAATATGGGACGGAATCCAGAAAAACTTTATATTGACGTCTTTTTGCATCAATGCATTATACTTTCTTTTTATTTCTAAAATGTAGTGGTTTATTTCAATATTTGTTTTAACGCTTGGTAGACTTTGAAGGGCATTTAGGGAATCCGAAGAGATACAAATACTATGTTTTGAGTTATCTAACGCAATTTCTAAGGCATCGTTTAATGTCTAAGGCATCGACTATACATTCTGCGGTGAAAACTGAGGCGTTGCAATACTTCCTAATTTTTCAATGTTTAGATTAGGACATCTACATTCTGAACCGACATACGTAATTTTGCTTCCATCTGTATAAATTGTATAAACATTATTTTCTAACAGCATTTCGTTCAGTAAATTGTTGGGGTTTCTTGCCCCCCTTAATACAGTACCCAGCTTAGTGTCAATTGTAATCGCAGTATATAATATTTGGAGATAGTATATACTATAGAGCGTAAAAGTTGAATGAACGAATCCTCTGATGAAGCTTTTCTTGGTGTATACAGGGTGTCCAAAAAGTTTGGGACCAATCTGAGCGTTTAAAGATTCATAGTCCAAATTTGACTTATAATTCTATACAGTTGTAGAGAATCATTATAGACAACAAATTGAGAGTGTTCTTATAGGATGCTATCAGACTAAGAGCTCGATCTTATTTATAATTTTTGCAAAATAATTTTCAGCATATGTTGCATATCGTCTTATTGGAAACATACTAACAAATATTATTTTTACGTGACAGTGCCACATTTTGGCTGGGATGTAATAATTTCTTAATTAACGAGGTTCTTAGAGATGATTAATGAAGGTATCTTGGATTAATTGGCTAAACGATACAATTGTTTGACTATTGAAAGTTAACCCTTTGCACTCCATGACTTTTTGGCTAGAGAAGAGTAGAAATTCAAAGATTCTCTATTAAAAAACCGACAATACCCTTTGGAGGAGTAAATAAAGAATTGTATAATAATAAAATTGTAGAATTATTTGATTTCAATACCTTGCACACTGTTACATAACATTAAATTTGATATACTAATTAATATCGATCTTCCAAATTTTATGAAATGGTGACTGAGGGCCACCTCTTGAGTACAAAGGGTTAATTGGAGGTAATTAAAGAGGAGTTTATATATATTGACAAATTGAAGACGAGCTGAGGTCCCATACACTTTCAC